CGGGAGGAGGGAGGTCAAAGGAGGGTTCAGTGGCGACGATCTTGGGCCCATTCCGGGCCCCCAAGGCGACAAGACCTGAAAGGAGGGATCATGCTCAGCCAGAGCCGGGCCTCTGCTGCCATCGTCTCAGGAGCAGTGACCGGGACCTGGGCCCGGGAGCCTAACTGGGCCTCGACGCTGGGAGAGGAGAGCTCGGCTTTTGTGTCTGGCGCCCGCTGAGGGCGCAGAGGGTGGGTCTCGACTTAGTGGCCAAGCTGGACTCAGCGAAGGGCTGCGGCCTGGACTTACCCAGCTCTCCATGTCGGGCCCAGCCTCTTCACTAGACGCTCCGCAGAGTGGCGGTGGCTGATCCCCTTCAGTGCCGAGACCGTCGTCCAGATTAGACTAACCTGGACTACCCGGCACGGGAATGGCCGCTCTCCTTGCAGTTGGCATCCCGGCACCGGATCGCCACCTCTGAGCCGTCGGAAGCGGTCCTGGACAGTCCTAAACCCCAGGGCGCTTCCCGCTCCGGGCACAGTGCCCTGTGTGCCAAGGCGGGTCGGACCTTGCGATTATCTGAGAATGTGCCTGAATGGCCCGGCCTGGCAAGACTGGCTTGCCGCCCACTGTACCCGCTGACCCACGAGAGTCTCAGCGCCCACGCCCACCCCTTGTATGCTACCACATTTCACAGCCCAGACTCAGAGCTGGATCTCGGGAGATCCGCCCATGCAGCAATGGCCTGCGCCTCGCGGGCCTCCTCGGAGCGGCTGGGGGGCGGGCAGCTCCCGACTTCGTCCGGTCCGGGTGGTGGGAGTGTGCAGGGGAGGCCCGGGAGGTGTGTTGGGGTCATCGGAGGAAATGAGTAAATACGCGGAGCTTCGCGTCTAATGCCTTTTGAAAAAGGCTCTCCTGATAAAAACCACAGTTGGGACTTAATGAAAAGCAGTTGGCCCGGCTCCTCTGATCCCTGCCAGACGGCGGCATCCGCGCAGCGCCCAGGGACAGGTACCCGCTTGGGTCAGCGGTCGCACCCGGTAACACCCACCCCACAGTCCATCATCCCCGCCGCTGCACAGCATGCTGCACCTAGTGTTCGGGTTCTTGGACAGCCAAGGGACTGGGTGCATGACGAAAAGCTAAATAGGCGGGCGGCCAGTCTATTCTCACAACGAAACGTGGCAAAAGAAAGTAAAACGACTTAAGCAGCAGCCCAAGGGGAAATGGGGAAATTGAACAAAACAACGGATTAGCGGTTGAAGAACAAAGGTAACAGGTGAAGTCAGTCGGTGAGGTGGACAGAGGAACGAAAAGGAGTAAATGAACGAACGAAAAGAGCAGATCGAACGAAGCGGGTAAACGAGGAAGAAGAAGAAGAAAGAAGAAAAAAGAAGAAGAAGAAAAAGAAGAAGAAGAAGAAGAAGAAGAAGAAGAAGAAGAAGAAGAAGAAGAAGAAGAAGAAGAAGAAGAAGAAGAAGAAACGAAAGAGGAGGGGAAGAGGGTACTTCCTAAAGGTAGTACACACCAAATAGGAACAAATGAGATACGAATTTGGGTTGTGCAGGGGACAGGCCAAATGCAAAGGAGGCGCAGCTCAGCGAGCTCAAGCCTGGTCTGGGATCCTGCTTCCTCTCGACGATGTCCTGGCTGGAACTCCTCGGTTCTGTTCTTGGTTGCACGTGGATCCTTAGTAAAGTTACCCCCCCCAACACACACACACACACACACACACACACACACACACACTGCACGTGGATCCTTAGTAAAGTTACCCCCCCAACACACACACACACACACACACACACACACACACACACAAAATGTCCCTGCCTTTAAACAATGTCCCTGCCTTAAACTCGAGTGTTGGCTGGTCTTTGTTGAGACCCGCTTGTTGAGCTCGGAAGCCTGGCTCACTGGCTTCTCTCTTACCCCGGTGTCTCCGCATCCCGCTTGACTCTGGTCGCTCTTTGCAGAGAGCGCCTTGCTCTTCTCCCGACGCGGGCCTTGTTTCGTCCTTTCCAGACACCGGTGCATCCTCCTCGGGTAGTACCTGTGTGGGCAGGGGTGGTTCCTTTCGGTTTCTCCAGAACTGCCAGTTTGTCCCTAAGCTTGGCTCTCTGACCTGGAAACGAATCCTCTGAAATGATTCCTGCTGGAGTTCTGCCCACCTGCCTCAGTTGAGATCCACAGCCCCAAGACTATCGGGGAGAATTTAAGACCTTGGCTAAGAACCTCTAAGGAGAACACAATCGCCTTGCTGGTGTCCCTGAGCTTGGCGCTTATTATGGACTTAAGGTCTCGCGGCAAGAGCTTAGGAAATCCAGACTTCAGAAACTACTGACTCATTTAGAGACCCCAGCATGATGACCGAAAACGGGGCACTTTAGAGCAAGGCTGCCATGAAAGCTGAAAACCAGGTGGCTGACTCTGTAACAACAGTGGATGCCACGGACCTGGACTTTGGAGCCGTCAGGATTGGTGCTGCACACCAACCAAGCTTGAGGTGGCTTGAGTCAGCGAGACAGCGGGTGGTAGGGCTGTGAGGTGTTTCTCCCTGGTCAGGGATGCACAAGTTCAAAGGCCAGGTCAGAAATAAAGAATCCTGACCCCTGTTGGCACATTAAAAGTCCCAGTCCTCGAACCCGGCTTTCACTCTTACAGAGCTGTTGCATTCCTGCAGTTGTACAGGCTCGGAACACTCATTACACTGAGCTTCAGGCTCCCGGTGACCAACAACCAACTTGAATACTCTCTCTGGACCACCTCCAGTGTTCTGTAGTAACTGTCAAACCTCAAATGGGCCCTCCTTGACAGAACAACCTTCCCCTGGCAAGCTTAAACTGTTGGCGTCCACTCCTGGACTTCCTGATGGCTACTCTCCATTTCTTCCATGTCTGCCTCTACTCTACCTAGGCCTGACTCCTCAGAAAGCTGCTTGGGGAGCACTGAAAAGTGGCCCTGCCCCTGGAGTCCTCCAGCTAGACCAGGGAGGTTTTAGGAAAGCAGCAATGAAAGGGGGATGCAGTTGTCTGTCTCTGAGAGAGAAATAGAGACCAGTAGCCTTAGCCTCTGTTGTGGGGACAGCAGCTCTGCTATGATGTGATCTCTTGACTGTATCAGCTTATGGGTTCAAGAACAGGAAAGCCAGTGACTGGGCCCTAGATCCGAGTATTCCCTCCAAGCCAGCTCTTACAGGAACAGCGCTGGAGTAAGGAAGCAGAAGAGCTCTCTGTAGTGGGGTTAGTACTCCTAAGCCCCTGCCCTGACTTCTCCTCACCCATTTTCTGCCTGAAGTCCATCCTTACCTCCCTGAGAACCCAAGACACCAAGGCTCTTCCCTGCCAGGACCTTTGAGGGTGTATATCTCCAGGGTGACCCATTCCAAGCTCCTGGTGCTCTCTGACAATTTCTTATTTAGTTTGACTTCTTTGATTCCTGCTTCCTAGCAAACAGTATTACCGACCCTCTCCAACCAAAATGTGATGATGGGGAACAGAATGTAAGGACTGCAGTGTGATTCCTCTCTGTGGGTCATGAAGGAGATGCCACTACAAGCAGGTGTAGCCAGAGGCCAGGCCTTGTGTGGCCATACTAGGTCTTCAGGACATACATGGGAAGCTTATTTCACAACCTGGGTGGTCCTGAGGAGGTCACTGACCACTTTCCAGCTGAAAATGACTTTACCCAAGTTGTCTTCCAGTTAGGGCTCATCTGACTCAGTATACCCATCCATACACACACTCACAGCTGTGATCTTGACATTAGATCTCCAGGAAGAAACTGCTTCTTGGTGCCAGCTAGCTAGGCTTTCTGAGGGCCAGGGCCCTGTTGGAGATGGGCCTGTGGCCAAAGAAGGGGCCCTCTGAGTCAGCAGGGCATCTTCTTGGCGTCCTTGTGGCTTCCATCCCAGCAGACTGTTGAGGAGGAACTTTATGGGGACACGTCTGGGGGTCTTTTCCAGAGGACAGGGATGGGGGATGATTGTGGTGACCCAGTTTTCACCATGCCAGGTCAGTCATATGGGGTTCCTGCGTGAGAGCGTATCAGAGTGAGGCTGCTGGGAGCTGTTCCCAGCCTGCCATGGAGCCTATCTGCTCATGGGGGTGATGAGGAAGCAGTCAGAAACTCCAGAGATAGGAGGGACAGGCAGTGCTGAGGATAACAGGGAAAGGGATCTGTGGTACAGGTCCCTCAGAGCTCCTCCAAAGCACAGCCTATCTAGCTTCCACCTTTCTATTCTAGAGCTTAATTCTTGCCCTGACATCACAACTTTAGAGTGGATGAAGACAGGTGATTCCTGTGGAATCATCATTGTCCCAGCTTGCTTTTCATACCTCAGACTTAGGAAAATTAATGTTAATGTGAGACTTGGACTTCAAAGAATGAGGCACAGGGAAACGAGCCAAAGGTGGTCTATGCATCTCTGTCCACGCCTGTCTAGCTCTGAGAGCAGAGGCATGAGCCTGAGGGCCTGGGAACCAAGGCTGGCACAGCCAGAACAAGAGAGCACTCTAGAAGGGGTGGGAGATGTCAACCACCCATCCTTAACCCCTGCCCCCACTCTTGGCCCTGCCAGGGTGGCAGTCCCTACTGTGGCGCCAATCCTGGCACCTCCACACCCTGTGGGACACACCACCACAGAGCACTTCCCCGAAATGAACCCCCCTCTGGCCCCAGAAGATCTGCCCAGACCACAGAGCACATGGCTCCCTAGGGCCCCCTCCCCAGCTGGAGGCTCAGCAGTCAGGCCTCTGAATGCCAGGCTCCCAGGGAGGGTAGCTGCCAGGAGGAAGAGAGGGGGAAGGAGGAGGCGGGGACTGAAGCTTCAATGCTCTTTCCCTCCCTCTATTCCACCCACAAAAAAAACCCTGTTAGGTTTCCATCCTCCTTTTTGTGTTTTCCATTGCAGCTGAGGAGAAGGTCTCCAAAGCTGCCAGCTTTCCCCAGCTGCCTGTGGACTGCCGAGGGGGTCCCACAGACGGGCCCTCTAATGTGCAAGGTTCCCCAGGTCCCTGCCTGGCCAGCTTGCGTGTCCCTCTTTCCCCGGGACTTCCTGACTCCATGGAGTTGGCCAAGAGCAAGAGCAAGAAACGCCGGAACCGCACGACCTTCAGTACATTCCAGCTGGAAGAATTGGAGAAAGTCTTCCAGAAAACCCACTACCCTGATGTGTATGCCCGGGAGCAGCTGGCTTTACGCACGGACCTGACTGAAGCCCGGGTACAGGTGAGGCCACGGTGGGCACCAGACTCTCTGGCTGCCACAACCACTCAGGCCATGGGCCAGATCAAGGAAGAGCTAGGAGAAGTGAGCACCAGGTCCTCCTGGAGGCTGGCCTTTGTAACAGCCTTCATGCCAGCTCTGCTGTGGCTGCATACTTTTCTCTATTTCTAATGAAATACATCATTGGGTCAAGTCTTAGGCATAGGCTTGCAGGTAGTGGTCTCTTGGAGTCCAAATATCTGTACAGAGTCCTCTATTATTTACTAGGAGCCAGGTGATTCTGTTGCCTGCTTTTGGCAAAGGAATTACCAGTAGCAAGCCAGAGAATCTTTGAAGGTCACCAGTTGCAAGAAGTGAGTGCTGACCATCTATCAGTGCTACTTGTGAGGCAGCTGGCCAGAGTGGGAAGGTCACTGGAGGGTATGTCAGACTCACCATCAACCAACCAACAACCAACTTACAGTTAGGGCTTGACCAGGAACCCTTCCCTACCTTCAACAGGCTCCTCTGTATAATGACCAACCCTCAGGGCCTTTGGCTATTGTCACTGCTTCACATAGTGAGGAATCCAGCCAGTGAGATAGAGGGAGAGAAGGGTGGGTGGATTCTGGGAGAGGGAGAAGGAAGGCTATGCCCAGTTACGTTGGAAGTGATGGAGAACACAAAGGTGGCAAGCAGGACCGTCATTAGGAGTCTGGCTCAAGAGGAAGACTGGTCATTTGTGGCCTTGCTTGGATCTATGGTTTAGTCAGAATGGGCTCCCCAGTGGCAGATAAGGAGGCACTGGAAGGGGTGTTTGGGGTTCCAGAGAAAGGCAAGGTCACAGCCCTGGCAGAGGAATCTGCCCCTCCTACCATGAGGGAAGAGGAATCTGCCCCTCCTACCATGAGGGAAGAGGAGAAGTGAAGCTCCTGTTTGTCACTCCCAGGATGGGGCCTTCCAGAGGCTCTGGAGAAGATGCTAGGGTTGGGGCAGCTCTAATAGACTATGGGGTGCCACAGGCCACTCTGCAGAAGCCAGTACCATCGATCCCATCAGGCCTGACAGTCAGATCCAAAATAGGACCAGAGGAGCTCAGGGTGTTTCCTCTGCTGTGTCCTCCTGCTTTCCTGTCCCATCTAGGTGGCAGCTAAAACTGTCCTCTATAACTGTCCACCAAGGTTCTTCAAGCTATGGGAACAACCCCCGATTTTATAAGCTAAGGAAGCCCAAAATGGGGAGTCTCTGGAGTGCCCTGTTGGGATGGAGTCTGAAGTGCTCTTCCCTGTGGAAATGTGTGGTATGTGGGGCAGGGGCACTCCCTCACTCCTCTCCTACCCCCTCATTTTTATTTTATTTTAACTTTTGGGGGGTGGTTTTGAAACAGGGTCTCATTCTGTCTAGTACCAGGATTCACTGCACAGCCCAGGCTGACCTCAAACTAAAGATTCTTCTATTCCTGAGTGCTGGCAATAGCACACGTTAAAGGCTTGAGCCACCAGGCCCAGCTCCTAGGCCTTTCGACCCTGGAAGAAGACAGGAGTAGTAGTCATGGAACTCCCAAGCCCAGTCCAGAAGCCTCCCCAACCACCAAGGCCCTAGAGAATGGGGAGATTCTCCTCTGACAGGAGCATGACTCTCACCATAAACCCCACCCCATGAAGAGGACTAATTAAGACCACACATGTGACAATGGAGAGGGCAAGTCCCAAACCCAGGCAGAGGTCCACAGAGGAGAGGCCCCAGGAGGAAATGGGTGGTGACAAGAAAGTAATTCCCAATAAAGGCCTAAATCCCTGAAGAGGAGGGAGAGGAGAGAAGGGCATTCATGGTGGACACTCTTGACCTCAGCTAGGCCTGCCCTGGGATCCCAACAACCTGGAAGACAGGAGAATAGGGGATGCACAGTTTCTTAGTTGTCAAGTTACTGGTCTATGTGCGTAGAGATGGCCATGGAGAAAGGAATATAGAGGGCTGGGGAGTCCTCATCCCTAACAGGGTAGCGGGGTTTACACGCACATAAACACACACACAGTTTTTTTGTTTTGTTTTGTTTTTAATGTGTTTCTAGATGGATCCCTAGAAAACAGTGGTTGTGTGTGGTTGGTTTTGGCTTTGGATTTTGTTAGGGTTACATGTATTTTTGACAGGCTTCAAACTCAGTGTGTGGCTGAAGCTGGCCTTGAACACCTAATCCTCTAGCCTCCACTTCCCAAGTTATGGAATTACAGGCATGTGTCATTATACCCACCTTAGTTTTGTTCCAATATTACCAACATCTATTCCATAGCTGACACAGTATCAAATGAAAGAAATAAAATTACATATACCAATACAAATAAATGAAATAGGATAGGGTATATTCCAAATTCATCACATCTATGCTCAGATGTGTATAAGACAACGGCCCCACGCCTGCCAAGAATTCTCAAATGATTGAAAAGTAGACTCCCAAAGAGAGCATGGGCACAGAATGTGATGAGTGCCCTGAGAAAAGTCAGGACATTATAGAAGAACCCAGTCTGGATGACGTTTTGAAGAGATGGGTAGCCAAGGAAGGGGAAACTTATTCACAGGTGACAAGAAACTGCTGGCAGGTATCTTAAACGAGAAGTAGGTGGGAGCTTGGGAGGCATCTAGGAAGAACCAAGTGCTGTTGCCTGGCAGGACATAAGACTATGGAGAGGGCAAGGGCCAGACCTAAGCAGCCTTGCTAGGAAATGGGCTCTAGGCCAGGGTTTCCAGGGAGCCACTGAAGAATTAAACAGGACCATGACCTGAATAAGAATGCCTTAACTGAATAGGAATGCCTTAATTCATTGGATGCTACAAGGTAGAACATCCCAACACTGGCACACCTAGGAAGTAATCCTGGGCCCCTGAGGCCCACAGGTCCCCTTCCCCTACAACACTATGACAAGACCTAGCCAGAGATGAAGAGAATGACTCATCCTGGGGGATGGTTGCTGGGGGCCCTGGGGACCAGTAGTACTGCTTTGGGATGGGGCCTCTCCCAGGCACCCTTCCCAGGCTCCACTGGCCCTGGGAACAGTGAGGATTTCTAAGATCCTGCCACTTGGGACTTTCTGGCGTGGATCTAGATCCCAGGAGAGGACTCAGTGATTACCCTCACCCATTAGGCTCCAGTCCTCAGGGCTGCTCTGGCATCCCTTAACCCTTCCCAATGGTCTGATCTCCAGGTCTGGTTCCAGAACCGCAGAGCCAAGTGGCGGAAGCGTGAGCGTTATGGGAAGATGCAGGAGGGGCGGAACCCTTTCACCACTGCCTATGACATCTCTGTGCTGCCCCGGACAGACAGCCATCCTCAGGTGAGACCTTTAGTCCCACCCTTCGACAAGCTTGTTCCTGACCTGTGGGGTTGCCAGTGAGAACATGTGCTCTGGGGGCGGGGCCTGCAGCGGCTCCTGCAGCATCTGGGTGATGTGTGACGTGGGTGGTTTCCTTAACTTCTTCCTGTGCAGAGCGGGGCTATTGCCTACTCTGATACACACAGAACATGGAGGAACTAAGGAAGAAAGTATAGTTCTGAGAAGCCATGGTGGGGGCATCCTGGATGCCAGTATGGGTGGTAGGAGGGATGGCCCTGCGTCTAGTGGAGACTTCGAGGACACTTCGGAGGCTTCAAGGACAATGAGAAAGCCACCAGGGTAAGGCAAGCAGCTTCGGGAGCAAGCGGATCATAGCCCTTCTTTTTCCTTCTCTTTTCAGCTGCAGAATTCTCTGTGGCCCAGTCCAGGGTCTGGGAGCCCAGGGGGGCCCTGCCTCATGTCGCCAGAGGGCATCCCCTCTCCATGCATGTCTCCATACTCCCACTCCCATGGAAACGTGGCTGGCTTCATGGGAGTGCCAGCCTCCCCGGCAGCCCACCCTGGCATCTATTCCATCCATGGCTTTCCTCCTGCCCTAGGAGGGCACAGCTTTGAGCCTTCTCCAGATGGTGACTACAAGTCTCCAAGCCTGGTCTCGCTCAGGGTGAAGCCCAAAGAACCCCCCAGCCTGCTGAACTGGACCACGTGATGGGTTACAGGGACACAGAACGAGCTGCTCACTCCTCTTCCTGCTCTCGCCTGCTCCTCGCCCATCTCTGCCTGGACACCAGACAGCAAACCCTTCTGCCTCCGTGTCCTGGGTGGTTCCAGAAGCTTGGGAGAGAAGCTGGGACCCTCAGCCTCCTTCAGGGATCTGACTACAGGGTCTTATCTCTTAAAATAGGTGGGGCTGCCTGTAGAGACTTCAAAGCATGCAGGACTCTTCCTTATAAACTGGGTCCCTTCGTTCAAATTGGGCTAGAGAAAAGGTGGCAGGCGATGCCCTGTTTTCTCAAGACTGTTTCTAAGTCCGGGGAGTCAGCCCAGGAAGATGGGAGGAGGATGCAGACTGAGCAGGGAGGAGCTCTCTGTGGCACTCAGGGCTGGCCTCGCTTCTGCCTTTCTACCACCAGGGGGCGTTCGCTAAGTGCCTGGAGCTGACACGTGCCCAGAGGGCCAAGGTCAGCTTAATAAAAGGTGGGGGTCTCCTCTGCTCCAAACATCCCTCAAACCTTTCTGCCCCATACCCAGTCTATCAACATACTGTGGAGTCATTTTCTCCAAGGAGGGAAGAAATTCCACCAGACATTAAATAATTGGATTTGCTTTCATGGGATCAGGTCAGGGTTATGCCTCGGAAACCATACTGGATGTTGATCAAAATAAAACGGATTTTTCTAGTCTCTGAGCCCCTGCGACCCGGATCAAGATTTTTGTAAAAATGCTTTTGTAGTAATAAACACAGTGATGTTTTTCATTCTAGGTGGCTGTCTATGCCCAGCATGTTGTCCTCGATTGCTTTAGGGGTAACCTGTGTCTATGATCTAGGCTGGGTCCAGCCCTCCTGTGGAACATCACGAATCTAGGGGCCTGTAATAACCAGGCGCAGTGGCAGTGACAGAACCCTCAAGGTCAATGTATGCCACGCCTGGCTCTGTCACCTGTATCAGCTCGGTGGCTTTGGCAGGCCCCAAGAGGCTCTAAAGCGCCAGAGCTCATTTGTTTGGCAGGGAAATTTGGGGGTGGGAACAGGAGTAAGAGAGTTGAGGAAAGCTTGTGGTTGAACTGACCACGGAGAGAATGGAAGGACAAGGATCTTATGGAGGTTTTGAGTGCCTGTGGGCTGGGACCCCAAGTGCTGGGGGTGGGGCAGCTGTCTTCTCCCAGATGCCCTGAGAGCATGTCTGAGCTGTGGGGCAGAGACAAAAGCCAGAACTCTTTCTTGTGGTTTTAGAGTATTACCCATTCTATCCCTCATCCCCTGCCTTATCTCTGGAGCCTGGAAGGCAGGAAAAAAGCAGGCCTGGCCCTCCCACCCTCCCAGTAAACACAACCACATTGCTCAGAATTCCACTCAGCTCAGCCCAGCCATCCCCCACCCCACGCCTCATCTTTCAGACACAGAGAAAGCCAAACACGAAGACACATCAGTGCTGTCTTATTCCCAAGGAGGGAACAAGTTCTCCATCAGATTGAATTTCCTAGCCAAGACATTTACCATGAAGTGACCATGCATCCCCATAGAAGTATCTCCCTTCTCTCTTCCTTTCCCAGAGAAAGCTGGCACCTTCCTTCTCTACCCTGACACTGGCAGAAAGAGGACTGTCTAGAGCTACCACTCACTGACAAGCCTCCTAGACTTTTACCCACCAGTCAGTAAGGAGCTCATGTCTGATTCCAGGATACATACCACTTCACTAGAAATGTCTTCATCCAAGGAATGGTCAGTGACATTTTGACCCTTATGCCCTACAAAAGCCAGAGAACTATTTGTATTAGTCGTTCTCTTGCTAGGACAAAAATCCAGGATGGACTTATTCTGGCTCAGCTTTTTTGTTGTTATTTTATTTCAGAGACAGGTCTTTCTGTGTAGCCCTGACTGTCCTGGAAGCTTTGTAGACCAGTCTGGCCTCGAACTCAGAGATCTGCCTGCCTCTGCCTGGAATTAAAAGATGTGTACCACTACCACCCAGCTACGGCACAGTTCACACTGTGCTGGAGGAAGCGATGCAGTGTGAGCAGCTAGTCACACTGTTTGTTCAGTCACACAGAGGCATGCTGCTGCTCAGCCCACTTTCAGTCTGGGACTTCAGCCTATGGGATGGTACTGGCCACAGATGCAGAACGAGGTTGGTTTGTTATAGAATTGCAAGTTGAAATCCTACTCCATGCTGGGCCTTGTGCGATGGTTACACTTCTTTTCTCCTAGTTTAGAAGGTTTAGAAAGAGAGAAAGATGGAATGGGAGAAGTAGAGAGACTGAAGCTCAAGCAAAGGAAGTTGAAATAAGGGCAGAAGAAAATGGCATTGAGTCTAGGATCAAGTCAGCAAGAGCAGTAGAGTCTACAGAGGCCATGGGCAATGCTTAGAGGGACTGTGTGGAGGGCACAGGGAGGCCGGATGCTGACTCCTGGCTCCCATCCAGGTGCATCTGCCCACAGCTCATATTTTTCTGTCCAGTGACAACTAAATGAAGAGAAAGCTAACTTTACAACCGCCTACTTCACACATAATGAATACGAATGGGCACCCCGGAGCCTGTCTCATGGGATTATCTGTGAGCTGACAGGTCCTCCCACCGACTGGGTCATCCCAGCCAGCCTGTCCCCTGGCTGGGGCACAGACAGTCCCTCACCTGCTTCCCATTAGCCATATACCCCCCTCCTCCATGCCTTCTCCAGCCCGCAGACCTCCTGATAGCCTTGCCTCCAAGCTCACTCTAGAGGTGATTCAAGACTCCCCACTAGATCCTGTCTTTTACCAAGGTTTGTGGGGGGTGGGGGTGGCGCTGGGTTTCTGCTCACTCCTGGGCAGGGAAAGGGGAAGCAGCTCTACCTGGAATTCCAACTTCAGGAGAGTTGTTGTACTCAGTCTGTCTCTTCTGAGACTCTTCTTGGTCCCACTGAGAGCCAAGCACAGATTGAAGATGGTACCAGTTGTGGTGGTGCACACCAGGAGGACATGCCAAAGAGGCAATGGTAGGAAAGTCACAGATTCCATCTTTAGATCTCGGTTGTCACTGGTGCATTGACTCCACAGAAGAACTGCAGGATTTGACCTCAGTCAGCAGTAGAGACTGTTTCCCATCAGAGGTTTTTATTTAGTCATCCTTCCCCACCTTTCTCAGCCATTGGTACATCAACCTGAATTACCAACCCAAAGTACAGACTCTCTGTGGCCCCAGACAGAAACAGAACCCAGCCTAGACAGGACTTGAATAGACATTTCCCTGACCCAGCTGAGGAAGCATATAGCCTACCCTCACCCCAGCCTTCTTGGCTCCCTTCCCACTCCATTACTGTAGGCTTCCCCAGCCCAGTCTCTTGTCCAGGAGGAAGGAATGGACTCTGGAACCCATGGTGGGACCATTGGATGGAATGGTAGACTGGTACCCTCTGCACCTGGACCTTCAAGACTTCTAGCACAGCACCTGGCCCAGGGCAGATGAAAGGAAGTTCTGTCCTGCAAGGACTTGTTTTCTAGGAGATACAGGAAATATATGCAACTTCACAGGTCAGAATTAGAAGGGCATCAGCAATGCTAATTGTTACCTATTTATAGGTGTACCTTGTCAGCCAGGACTGGATAGGGTCCATTACCTGTTACCCTATCCAGTCTTTACAACAGCTGCTATCACGAAGGCAAACATTACAGATAATGAGCCTTGGAGCCCCATTAGCTCAAGGATATTCAGTGAGTAAAGGTCAAGGCTTGGATTGAAGTCAGAGCTAGTCAGGTGTGGCAGCACCCACTTTTCATCCAGAACTTCAGAGGCAGAGTCAAACTACAAAGTTTGTTCCAGGACACCAAGACTACATAGTGAGACCCTATCTCAGAAGGTGTGGAGGAGTCAGGGCTGTCTGACTCCCAAGGGAGCTAACCCCTTTTGAGAGCAGCAGCCTAAGACTGATTTTGCCACGTGCCAAATGATGATGGCTGCTACTGTGCCATTAAGTAGTCAGCCTCCAGAGGGAGAAACCCAACATGGAGAGCAGAGGTAGCTAGCATAGGAGTCCAGGAAAGACATGGCACAGACCTGTAATCCCATTTATTTGGAAGACTGAGGCAGGAGAATTACAAGATCAAGGCCTGCCTAGGTTACAAGTCCGTTCAAGGCCAGACTGTGTAGACTTATTGAGACATTGCCTCAAAATAAAAAGTAGAGAGTGCTGTGGAGGCTCCGGATTCAACCCCTAATGTGTCAAAACAAAACCAAAACACAAAAACATAGCAGTAATCCAAGTTACAGTGAGGGTACACTCAGGGCTAGCCAATAACTAAGACAAGGCTAAGCCTGGGTGGCCCAGATAGGGCCTAAAGCAAGGGACGTTTGCCATGAATCATCTGTGCTAGGGACCATGTCAGAGCCAATACCAAGTAAGTATGGTAAACAAATGAACAACTGAGCAGTGGCAGCGAGTGCCAAGGGATGGCAATGATTAAGAGGGTGGGGGTTGGGAGTGCATGGATACTGCAGAGACTGTGTTTGAATCCTGGCTCTATCCCTTATTTCTGTATGGCCCAGGGCAAGCTCCTTACCACTTCTGTGCCAGTTTGCACATCTGCAAAACTGGGCTTGCAGCGGCATTTACCTTTCATGGTGCATTAGCTACTTTTCTTGTTGCTATGGCAAGATGCCTGGCAAAAGGGACTTGAAGAAGGGTTTGTTTTGGCTCATGGTTTTAGGAGACACAGGCATTGTGGAGGAGGCACGGTGGCTGGTCACCCTTTTCTAATCACAGTCAGAAAAACAGGGATGAATGCTGGTGCTCAGGCTACTTTCTTCCTATTTCTTTATTTTGTCCATGTGATGGTTCCAGCCACATTGACAGTAAGTCCTCCCTCCTCAGTTAACCCTCTCTAGAAATGTCCCCAGTAGACACACCCTTAAAGTGCATTTATCAGATGATTGTAAATCCTGTCACGTTGACAGTGGAGAGCAACCAACACACAGGGCTATTATGACAGATGTTCTTCTGTTCATCCCTACTACATAGATGATGTGACTAAGAGATACCTAATATTGTGTATCTGTTCCCTGTTTAGCATCCAGTTAAGTGAATCTTTAAGATGGTACAAGCCTTGGGGTAACCCATCCCTTGGTACATTAAGGAACACTGGACCCTTCTGGGTAACTCAACTATTTTCAGAGCGCCTTCATGTATGTCTCATCACCCGGATAAGACAGCTAGAAATTGGATGTCACTAAGACATTTGTATACAAGGACCTTGGTTCTAAGAGCCAACATGACAGTAACTTCCCTGGGGCCAGCCTGAATCTAAAGATGAATGGATTCAAGTACCCAGGCCCAATTGCCTCATGTGTTTTTCTACAGGCAGAGGAGAGTCTGGGGAAATCTACAAAGAGGAGCAGGGGTGATCAAAGCCTCAGGCTAAGCAATTTCAGAGACCTAGATGCATGCTGGAGTAAGAATGTGAAAGCCCACCTTCCCCAGATCGAAATCTCAGCATCTGTACTTCCTGTAAGTCTGGCAAGCAGCAGCAGATCCACCATGCATACAAGAATGACAGGACTTCTTTGTCCTGTTCAGGCCACTTTGGGGCGAAAGAGCCAGTCACAGGGACTTTCAAGCTCTGACCCTTCCACCTTGCTATTATTAACCATGCTGCCACATTCTCAAGCACAGCCTGGGGCTCAGCAGGTTGCAGACCCAGCAGGCACTGAATCTAAATACCAACAAAGAAGACTTGCCCTGGAATATTTCATTTATCAGGGCATTCCCTGAGAGATTTAGGACCTCATGCATATTGCCTACAAGGAGCTTCTGGGGATTATGAATATGAACAGCCCTGTCACTAAAGCCACAAGGAGGATGAACCTGAAGAAAAAGAAGGTTGAAGCAGACATGATCAGGTACCTGAGCCAAGTGAGGTCCCAGGACTCAAAGTGACATTTCCCTTGTTTCTCCCTTAGTCACAGGAGCCACAAGCTCTCTCTACCACTCTCCCACTATGAGACTGATTCCTGAGGGCACTCAACTTTCCTCTTTGTCCCAAATACCTCTGTTCAACAAGACCCAATCAACTTGACTCCACTGTAACCTAGCACTAACCGGCTTGACTGAGGACAGCTCAGGAGTATGATCCTGAGAAACCTGAGGTTTCTACGGAAACTACAGCAAGGCAAGTCATTCAGAACCCAGCAACCCAGAATCCTAAAGCAATCCCAGACTGATGTGTGCAAATGGCCAAGTACCAACTCCTCCTTCCCTCTACGATAGATAGGAAAGGCAGGCAAGAAAGAGGTAAGTGGCTTATCATATTGGTAGAAAGTGGCACTTCAGCGAACTGCAGATTTTTAGACCATATTTCTGAGAGAGAATCTCATGGAGCCTAGGATGCCCTTGAACTATGTGGGCAAAGATGACCTAGAACCTCTGATTCTCCTGCTTCACCTCTCAAGTGCTGAGATTACAAGTGTGCACCACCATGCCTCGTTGATGTGGTGCTGGGGATCAAACCCAGGGCTTCTTACCTGCTACGCAAGAACTCGACCCCCTGAGCTACCTCCCTAGCCCCCAGAGCCTGTATACAGACAAGGCAACAGGGATAGTTTTTGCTTTCTTTTAATGTAAACAGAATACACAAACACATTAAAAACCCCACCATGACACAAGAGAACACATAGAGTTTTATATATTTACAGGTCATGGCAATCAAGAGGAAACTGGCACCTCTGGCTTTGGGAAGCCTTGCTCTTTTATCACATCCAAAACCAGGGTACAGAATCTGTGGTATCTAACACTTCTGGACAAAACACAGCAGGATGCTGGAATGGCATCGATACCCCCAGAACACAACCAAGGTGCCAACTCTCTATTCTTGGCCCTCACACTAACCCCTCCTCCTTGACCAACTGCAATGCCAAAGGTGCTCAGGAGTCAATGGGACCTTGAGATGCAGCTGTTGATGAGAAGGGATGCAAGGCCCATCTCGGCTTTTCCCAGCCTGGGGCTAACTGTGAAATGAGTTGCAGTCAATCCTATCCAAGAGGGGAGGGCAGAAACTGGGGGAGCGGAGGAAGAGTAGATCCCAGCTTGGAGATGACTGCTCCTGAGTAGGATGCTAGGAATCAACCAGAGGCCAACCTAGATTTACTCACAGGCCCAGGGCTGGCTGTGGAGGACTCAATGGAGCTGTGCTGCCACCTGGAGGGCAACAAGAGCACTGCAGCAATGATGAGGACAGTCCCTCGGTATGATGAGATAACAGTCTGTTTCAGTGCTCCTCACTGCAGCAACTCTTCCCAGGAAATGGGTTTAGAGAAGACTTCCCTTTCTAGCCACAGGTCATAGTTCATCTGGAAGTCCTCAGGTAGATCTACACGCTGGCCTAGGACACTCTGCAGGCAATTGTCCACTGGCAAGAAGTCAGGGTTGCTGTGGGTCCTGTCATAGCGCCGGGCATTGAAGCGTTCGATGTTGGCACGGAGGGCGCATTCCTCTGCCTGGAAGTCCCAAGGCCGGGCATCCAGATCTGGGACAAAGCAGAGTCCCAGTTAGGAGTCCAGCCCTATAGCAGCTCCCCATGAGAAAGGGTATGACCTTAGGCCAGGAGATCACCTCCAAGCACCATCCTCAGGAAGATAAATACAAATGCTTTCCCAGAAGTAGAGCATAGTCAAATATAAGGAGAAAATCCAGACCTACTGAGAAAGACACTTGTTCCCCCAAAATATGTAGACCCAGATGGGAGAGCCCCTGGAAAAAAACAATTTCTCTAAATGAAGTCTCCTTGGTTCTAGGGAACAAAAGTGCAGCCTGGAGACTCCCTCATCTGTTCATCCTCTCACCCCACACACAGATGTCATGTGCTACCCTGAGCCCAGACGCCTCACATAGTGTTATAGTGTTGTGACTGTAACAATGTAAATTATACTAGGAGAAGATAACATAGGTATCCAGAGGCCCAGAAACAGGAAGTGTCATGCTAATGTTCAGCGACTAAGTGTACCTGTGCAGTCTGTTCTAACAGAGGGCACACTGAAGAGCACAGGCATCTATGTATGTTTGGATCTGCACAGAAACCCTCAGTAGGTCCTGAGGGACTGTACTCTGTGCCTAGAGTCCTGGGTGTGACAGAAGCTGCTGCCAGCAGATAATGGGCTTGAAAAAGAAAGCTGTGGACTATGGGACCAGGGAAGTGAGTGAGTGTCCCTTCCCTGTCTTCGCGTTTGACTTCATTCATAAGGGAAATAAGAAGCTAATCAGGAGGCAACAGTATAGGGTGGCTAGCTATATGGGAAAGATTACAGGAGCCAAAGCAGAGGCAAATAGAGGGGAGAAACTAGAATGAGAGCTGGTCAGGAGCTATTGGATTTAGGCAGCCAGAAGGCAGCTGTAGTTGGGATGAGAGGGCAGAATCTCATGGCAATTTCTAGAAAAGACATGATTTAGAGTAGAGAGATGGAGAAACAGATGACCACAGACACTGAGCAGTTTTCCAGTTTTGCCTGGTGCTCCCTTCTTGGTGCCACAAAAACTAGAGCCAGGTTCCTTTTTTTTTTGTTTTTGTTTTTTGTTTTTCAAGACAGGGTTTTCCTTTGTACTTTTAGAGCCTGTCCTGGAACTAGCTCTTGTAGACCAGGATGGTGTCAAACTCACAGAGATCGCCTGTCTCTACCTCCAAAATACTGGGATTAAAGGTGTGCACCACCACCGCCCAGCTAGCCAGGCCCCGTCTGTGCCTCAGGGTAGAAACAGCTAAGGTACCAGAGGCAAGGAGTCAAAAGTGTGCCTTGTCCCACCCTCTTCCAATCTTGCTTCCCAAATGGCCTTACCATTGCCGTATGCCCAGTCGTCGTTCAGCCGATGTCGCACCTTCTGGTAGATGGCAGACATTGTCTTCATGTTGCTCTTGCGCCACTGTCGCCCCAAGTATTTGGTCTGCACTTTGAGCAGCTTTAGCACATAGAGCTGCATCATGGCTTGCTTCACCTTCAGGGCCCGCTTCAGGATGGGTGCCGACTTGAACACCACCAGCATCTGTGTGGACACAGTGACAGCCATTGCAAGGAAAGGAGTAAGTGTGTGTGCCACTACATGGTCACTTAACACTTGCCAGGTAGGGAACAGGGCGACAAGCCATGCAGTTTCTCCTAAACTCACTGGTTTTCTGGTACACAGAGAAAACTTTAAGCACTAAAACTAGCACAGCTACGGCAAACCACAAGGGTTGGTCACCCTAATTATGGGTCACTCTGTAATCTCCTTTCTGAGAATTCATGGACCTGCCCTGTCCAAAGGTCAGGATCAGGGATAAGGCGGCTCTCGGACCCCTGACTATCATTTCCCAATCAGGATCAAGAGGCTACGGAAGATGTATCTGTAAGGGTGGATTTGTTTCAGTGCATGACTGAGAGTCTCTACCAGCTTCTGCTTCTACCAAGAACCAGATGTCTGCAGAACTGAGTAAGGACAATGCTGCCTCAAAAGCTCCATCCTCGTCAGGCGTTGGTGGCACATGCCTTTAATCCCAGCACTTGGGAGGCAGAGGCAGGTGGATCTCTGTGAGTTCAAGGCCAGCCTGGTCTCCAGAGCAAGTGCCAGGATAGGCTCCAAAGCTACACAGAGAAACCCTGTCTCAAAAAACAAACAATCAGGGGCTGGAGAGATGGCTCAGAGGTTAAGAGCACCAACTGCTCTTCCAGAGGTCCTGAGTTCAATTCCCAGCAACCACATGGTGGCTCACAACCATCTGTTATGAGATCTGGTGCCCCCTTCTGGTGTACAGATATACATGGAAGTAAAATGTTGTATATATAATAAATAAAATCTTAAAACAAACAAACAAAAAACAAAAGCTCCACCCTGAGGACTCCCTGCCCCAGGTGAGGGGAGGCATAGCACGTGGCACTCCTCTGTGAGTTCCCAGTTCCAGACTTGCTGCAGCAGTGACTCACCATGGTCCTTGAGTGTTTCCATTTTGTTAGTTTGTTCAAGATCCGAAGAAGATTAATGCAAGAAAAGAGGTTCCTCCAGCAAAACTGGTTGTTGTCACCAGCTTCCTGCAGGGAAAAGGAAAAGGAAAAGCAGCCACAGGCTGCTCAGCAGTGTCCAATGGCCTTGACAAATATACCACAGTGGCCATGTGTCAATGCTTCTAGCATCAAGTTCTCTGTCTCACAGCCAAAGGGAAACTCCATCCCACAAGTTGAAAGAGAAGCAGGGACTCAATAGACTTTTCCTGAAGGAAGCATGGGCCATAAAACCAGGAACCATAGCCCCAGACTTCAGTGGGAAGATGCAAGCAGCTTGAGTAGGCAAGTTCTAGGTCAGCAGCCCCTGCAGAACATGCTCCCTGACTAGCCCTAACCTATCCCAGGTGTTCTGCCCTATAAAATCCCTCCCCAACTTTATGGCCATTTCTGGCATTTTAAAAGCCAAAGGTGACCTCGTCTGAAAGATTCCTCTATCTTTGCTTTGCAGGAGGCAACCCTCATAACAAAGGAATAGCCAGGGCAATCCCAGCCACTCACCAGACTCTCTGCAGTTAACTCTGGAAGCTCATTTACCACGCAGTGAGGGTAATCCAGGACAGAAATGCTGAAGAATGCAAGAAGACACAGTGTGCACCGTGAGTAAAGGCTGGGTCTGTCAGTAGCCATGATTTAAACTGAAGCAGAAGTAGCAATCTACCTTACTTGCTCTAACCCTGACTATAAGATGAGGAACTATCTGCTACAATACATGTGGAAAGTTTCCCTATGACAGGTTCAGTTTATAATCTAATTAGTAACCTGCAGCTTTCCCCATAACATGAATCTAGGAGGTAGGGCTCAAGACAATTGATGTATGCCAAGCTCTCTTAGAAGCCACAGCTACCCAGACACTTCCCTTGTGATGTCTCACACTGATAAGCAGGTGCTATCAGGTCCAGCGGGCACAAGGTGGGTGTTAAGGAAGGCCAAGCTCCTTACAGAGAACTGTGAGGGGAAAGGGAAGAAGGATAGAAGTAGTAGTGAAGGCAATTCTGGAGCTTAGGATGAGAGCCTCCTGGTCAAAAACAAAGTCACTAGACTAGCTAACCTCAAAACAGACACACTGTCATTCATTTTGTCTCCTGATGCCTGGCAAAGTGTTGACTCATAGATGCTCAGAAAAATGTCTGCTGAGGAGTCTCAATGGAGAGGCCAGATAGAAATCCTGCCATTTGCCTATTCTACCCTTTCTTGGCCCTGGTCCTTATCACCTGTTCTTGGCAGTGATGTAGGACATGATATTTTGATTGAAGAACTTCAGGATCAAAGGAATGCAGTTGGCAAAGACCAGGTGCTGAGCCATGTATTCAAACTGAAACCAACAGAAGAAAAATAAGCATGCCTCTTATTCTCTTTTCTCTAGAGACAAAAAGCCTTGGCTGGATAATCTCATATTAGAATGCTCATGCAGAGAGCTTAAGTGGGCTCAAAGCCAAGCCCTATTCTCGGGTTAGGGAGCAGTATGGACTGAGGCACAGGCGCAGTGCACACGAAGGCAGACAGACCCTACAGGTACCTGGTAGATGTGGTTCAACTTAAAGTGCTTGAGCAGCAGCAGCAGCACAGCAGAAATGGCCTTAACGATGACCTCCTTGTGGCGGTTCACATCCACCCCCAGCTTCATGCTCTGCAACACTGTGGTGCTAGAAACACAAGTGCCTGATGAGTCGCCAGCACACACACAGCACCTTCTGCCTAGGCATCCATAGTGGGGATGGATTCCAGAACCCTCTGGTAAAGGACCAAATCCCACAAACACTTCAGAGGTCAGCCTTAGGAATCCCATCTACCCATCTCCCAAATGATCCAGCCAGACACAACTTCCATCTTCCCCATGATGCTGCCCATCTAGTTCCTGATTTACTTAGAAGTTCACTCAGTGACAGTCTGTGCTGAGATTCAGGCTACGCCATCTCTCTAGCCAGGGAAACTTATCCAGTAGTTTCCTTCATCTGAATCAAAAATACCCTTGACTTAACCTGCAGCAAAGCTGGGCCAACAAAAGAAACCAACCTGAAAAACACTGGCCCTCTTTCTTCTACCCATTCATAGCACTGATACTCACGGCATCTCCTCAGGCAGAACATCTGCCAGGATGTTGATTGAGTCTGTTTTGGCTTTTGATGTGGGAGCTGCAGCCAGTAGGATCTTCAGGAGGGCAATCTGGGAAAAGCAGACTACTCAGATGGGCATCAGAGCCCAGGGCCATAATGGAGTCCTGAGAAGTGGGGTCTGCAAGTGGCAGGAGCCTTGTGGGGTGAAGGAGATCAGCCTATAGGGTATCTCATCACAGGTACCCACTGATCACCCCGAGAGAGAGGTCCCAGACAGAGTACTCACCATATACTGAGGCAGGCTGGGGAGCAAGCCTTGGTAGAGGGTTTCTGCAGGAACTTGTTCAACTTCTTCTTCTCCCTTTAATACAAAGTCACAAACACAAAAACCTATGTCCAGACTACAGTCTCCTGAGCCAGAATCTCTAAGTATTAAAGTGAAGAGTGACACTGATGATAATGACAGGAGGTTCTGAAACATACAGCATGGCAGGAACTTCAGTTGGATAGTTTAGTTAATTCTTATTATAACCTTCTTCATAAGGTACCACAGTCATACATGTTCACAAACACCTGTAACCACAGCACTGGTTAGGCCGAGAGGTATCTGAGGCCATTCTGAGCTGTACAGTGAGGCCATCTGGGTTATAGATAGATGTTATCTCAAATAAACAAGCAAGTAAATAACAATGAAGGCACTAGTCTATCACCGCTTTTATTTTTTTTCTACAGGCAGGGAACAAAGCACCAAGAGATCAAGTTTTGTATTCAAGCTGCTGTTCAGGGACTGAAAGAGCAGGACACGGACTGGAATCTCTTCAAGGAGAGGCTGAGCAGAGCAGCTTTATGGACCAGGCCCAGCTAGGAGACTGAGAGCAGTTGGGGACACCATGGCTGTAGGCCCCTAAACTCACCCCTGAGAGAGGAGAGCGAAGGAACTCCTCCTCCATCTGTGCCTGGACCTCTGCAATTGATGTATACTTGTGCTGAAAAGAGAGGCAAGAAATATGGTGCTGAGAAAAACACCCTTACTCTCTAGCCACACTCCCTCTCCCCTCCCCAGGCTGGCAAAGACCCAAGATTTTATTCTGGTCTTCTGAGAGAGGGCTAAGTCATAGCAAAGATCCCTAAGAAACTGCAAACTTATAATAGCTCTCTAAGGAGGCATCTACTTCTGACAGCCTCTGTGAAAAGCCCACAGTAGATCAGCAAAAAGCAAACTACAGTGGGGGAAAGAGCTTTCAAAAGCAAAAATGACAGGAGCAAAAGACATCAGAGGCAAAAGTAACTGTGTACTCAAAAAGCCTAGCTGCAGAGACCACGTGGTATTACCAATTCCAAAACTGGACTTAAAATACGACAGTCCAGATACATCAGAAACACTCCTCCTGATCCCTGGTGTCTCCCCCCTCCCCACCTCATCCTTACTCCCACAGCTCCTTCCCAGCAGGGAGCACAGGAGAAAAGCAAAATGGTCTTGGCCCCACCCCTGCTTTAGACTCCACCAGGCTACCTGCTGAGAGCCTTTGTCCTGTTGGCCCTCCAGCTGTCTGGGACTGGGTACTGAGCCTGCCAGATTTCTAAAGTAAACTTAGCACACTCAAGGTGCTCATAAGTCTTGCTCCCCAACCATTCTGTGAACAGCGAGGCTGACAATATCATCTAAACCTGCAACTCCTCTCAAACCCAAGGTTTCTTATAAGAAGCCTACTTATGGGCTCCTTCAACTCTAAGGCTGTGTATAACACATCCCTAAAAGATGTCACACTTAAGAAGAAGTGCTTCCCAGCTCTTGTTGGCAGATAATAGCCTTGAAAGGCTTGTCCTTTCTCACTTTACTCACCTGGGACTAAACAAGGCCAAAAGATCCCTTAGGGCCACTTACCTGTTTCAGTGTCTTGATGCTTTCGTGGATTGGCCTTGGCAGCCCCACCACTGTGTTGGTGTCACTGGAGAACAAAGAAAACCTTGTGCTGAGCCCAGACATCCACGCACCTGTCTACTGCCCCAAGGTGAGGCGAATGAACCTCAAAAGGAACTCAGGTCACACTCACCTGCCTAGAGTGTAGCCTATGAACTTGCTGCGGCTAGATTCAAGGAACATCTCAATGTCTTTCTCTCTACCAAAGGAAGAAAGAGGGACAGATTTTTACCACGTATTGTTTCAAGGTATGCTACTATCTTAGGCCTGTGTTCTAATAATCAAAGCATCTCCAAATTGTGACTCTAAGACAAGGAAAGGTCTCTTACAATAAGGGGAAAAATCTGAATTCCAGCTAATTTTGTTGTGTTCATAAACTTGAAGTACGTTTATATTTCTATAACATTCATGGCTAGCTGACTCAAAATCAGGGAGGCATATTAAACTTAAAAGCACAATTTATTCAAACAATAGTAATATTTAATACTTTCAAACACTAAGAAGTGTAAGAGATATAAGTTACAGACTTCAAACGGGTCATTTTCTTGTCTCAACAGAAACACCTTGGCTTTTTGGGTTCTACATTCTTCTCACTCAACCCAGAAAGCTGAGGACTTACCCCTTTTACATCAGTTCATATACACATCTATTCAGTTCATAACACAAGATGCTGCCTATTAAGATACACATTTCTAGCTACCTTTCCATCTATTGACTCACCCAAGGATACTGTTCAATGCATTAAGTGGTTTTATAAAACTCTTCATCTTTCGTTTTATATAAAAAGCCATATACAACTCTAATATAAGTGGGGATAGGTTTGCCTAAATACACATTTTATTTTTCCCCTATCTCTCTTCACTATCAAATTTGACCAGTTCAAATTACTGACACAGGAGCTGCACAAGGGTTATTTGTGTGCTATCAGCAAGACCATCCTCACAGATGTGCCCAGGATGGCATGGGATAGTTTAAGGTCATCTTAGCCTTGCAGAGGCGCTCAGGTCAACACTGGCCTGAGGACATGAGGGGTCTAGAACTCTGAGACTCACCTGACCTTGGGAGCCCAAGGGAGCCCTTTTGGGCAGGTAAGCCTGTCAGTCTGAGGGTGCTGTAGTGGGGGAGGCATCACCTCGTCTCGCTCAAGGGGAAATGTCTCCCCCTCCAGGCTGTTGTCATCGTCATTCTCCTCTTCCTCTTCTCGAGAGTCATCAGTCTTATAGGGGTCCCGCTCATTGAAGGCATCTAAATTGTCCTGCTTTATCAAGGCCTGAAAGCACAGGGAACGGGAGCCGAGAAAGCTTGACAACTGATGAGATGATGGCAGAGGCAAGCAGTTCAAATGGAACAGAAAGGTATCAGATAGGGAGCTGTGACACTGAAGAACACAGAGAAGGACCTAAGACTAGAATGAAGTAACAAATCACTTCTAGTTCCAGCACCTCAAAAGCTGCCATCTCATCTAAATATCCACTACACACTGGGCCTGATGCTGGAGACAGTGTCTCTGCAGTGGAGGCATTGGCAACTCCTGCTGATCAGTCTGATATCAGCTGATTTCTAATATCCTGCTTGCCTCGGGGGCATGGGCTCCTACCACACGCCATATGTACTCTGATATCTATTGGGAGTCCTGGGGTCCTCTGCTGCCTCACCTTGTGTTCCCGTCGGCCCCGTTTCTGCTGCTGCTCAATCAGGTCTGAGGCAGAAGCTGGTGGGGAGGCAGCCCTCATATTGCGGATCACCTTGATGCTATCCTCAGGCAGTGGAGGAAGGCCAAGGAGAGTACGCTTCTCAGCCTTCATGCTCTGCAGCTCCTCAAAGCCACCCAGTGTGCACTGTGTAAAACGGAGGTGCAGAGCCTAGGTCACCGTGTCCTTGTTGATGTCATTATGCTAAAAAGCATGTGTGACACCATCAGAACCCAAACCTTTATAGAGACCCCACAGTCCCTTGGACAAAAACTAAAGCCATCCAAGGAGAATTCGGTGCTCTGTACAAGGAATAAGAGAAAAGGGAGGAAGAAAGAATGAAACACCAGCTGGTGGAAGCTGGCGCATGACACATGCAATTCTGTACATATGATATAGTCTCTGACTGAGCATGGTGTGGTGGCACATACTGATAATCCCAGATCTTCTGAGGAAGAAGCAGGAGGGTCACCATAATTTTAACTCCAGCCTGGTGTACACAGCAGTTCCAGGCTACTCAAGGCTACACAGAGACCATGTCTTTAAACCAAATAAACAAAAAGTAGAGTAGAGGCAGTTCTTATAAATGTCAGCAGACTGATGCTTCAAAACTGTACATGACAGTCTTGCAAACAAAACTAAAACAACTAAACAACTAAAATGTGTTGCTCAAATAAAATAATATCCTAAAAACATATAAACCTGTCTAAATTCACTAGAAGCTCAAGCTCGAGTCCCGTAGTCACTGTGGCTGCTCAGCACCACTGTGTCTGAATAACTCAGCTTTCCTCTCAGCCTGAGTGAGGCTTCCTGAGGAACCAGCAGGTCTGGTCAAGATAAAGCTTGTATACCCTAAGAGGCTCTAAATTCACTAAGCTGCACAGCAAAAGAGAAGCCCCACTTAGTACAGTGCTCCTCCTGGAGAGAGGGCTCCTTGCTTTCTCTGGGCTTGGTATCTGACATTGCCCCCATGCTAACTTTGATGGCCAGTTCACCCAGCATCCATCCCCTCATTCCCCATGTAGGAACAATACATTTCACAACACACCCTTGGGAAACAGGCTAGCTAGAGGCTCGGTCTTGCTTCCTTCAAATGACAGCTCTGCTGCTCAAAGCTAAGCTCAACCCAGGTAACAAAAATCATCTGCCCAGTGGACTACAACTACAGCAGTTCCATCTTTGCCTCAAACCACTTTACAAAGACAGGCTTCGGATGGTCTCCAAAGACGCAGCTTGTTTGAGGATGGAGCTGCTGTATGATTAGAAATGGATTTAACAAAAGTCAGGGAACCAATCTAGTTTGACTTGTGGCCAGGTGCTACCTGCCCCTACTCAGCACTTTTTTCCATGTAGCCCTTGCTGTCCTAAAATTCATTCTGTGGATCAGGCTGGCCTTGAACTCAGAGATCTGCCTGCCTCTGCCTCCCGAGTGCTGGGATTAAAGGAATCCACCACCATGTCCTGTATTTCTTTTCATCTCTTTTACAGAACTTTTAAAAAACGGAACCTGGTAGCAGATACTGACGAGGCTGAGACAGGAATATTCCAAGTTTCAGGCCAGACCTTAGACAAAACAAAAGTAAACAGCTGAGGAATGTTTCAGTGGTTAAGAGCACTGACTTTGAAAAGATGAGGACTGAGTTTAAATCCCCAGGACCCATGTAAAAAGCCAGGTAAGTCACACATTAGCCTGTAACCCCAACAGAGTTGAACAGACATAGTAGGACTGTGAGGATTTGCTGACTGCCAGCTTAGCACCAGGAGTTAGAAGACCCTGCCATATGGGAATACAGCAAAGAATGATAGAGCAGGAAACTCTTGTCTCAGAGCATGGATGTGCAGCTACACATAGGTATACATGTACCACGTACACATACCAAATACATACTCAATGTATAGGAAATAAGCAAATAAATAAAAAGTAAAAAGAACACCAGTGTAAGTCATGGAGTCTGTTTGCCTAGCATGCACAAGGTCCTAGGTTCAATCTGTAATACCATTAACTAAATATTGTCTAAACCAAGTAGCTAAATATTCACATAATTTAGGAATTTCCCCTCATCCTTCTCCCACAGAAAGATATCACATCTCTCAGAAAATGGAATGGTATTTGCATATAACCTATGCCTAACCTTCTGCAAGCTTGAACTCATCCCTAGATTATTTGTAATACCTACAGCTACATAAAACATTGCTATACTAGTTAGGGAGTAACAACAAAGTTTTACAGTCAGTACAGATGCAAACCTCATTTTATGGCCTGCATTTGGATGTGTATATGGATGAGAATCCACAGGTACAGAGGGTCAACTGTGCAAAGATGTCTCTTTCCTGCCTCATCTTCTAGCATTTAAGTGTCCCCAAGAAGGTACTCACCAATACAGTCTTCCAGAGCAGCAAGAGAACTTTCTTCATAGGGAAGTGGGGGGCATGGCCACTGCAAAATTTGGTCACCATCCCAAATAGCATGATGGCAAATGGCTCATTGTTGTACAGAGGGGAGCCTGGAAGTGACTCAAAGATATCAGGACCCCAGGCAGCAACAGGACCCACCCAAAGCCCTCCAATCTCAGCTCCCAGGCAAGGCCTTAACAGAGGAGCCCCAGAGTCCTACCCAGTTCAGCTCTGAAGGTCTGTCTCATTGTTCTCCACTCTGCCTTGTCACCCTCACAATCCTGGTGAACAGTCTCCACAATTAGGTACATGATGTTGAGCAGAACCCTGAACACATGAACCAGGTCATAAGAGAGAAAGACAGGGGACCAAGGGGCACTTTCAGCCTGGAACAATGGTGTATGCTTGTAATACCAGTTCTTGGAAAGCTGAGGTAGGAGGGTCTCAAGTTTCAGGTCTCATACTGGGCTATGTAGTGAACTTTAGGCTGGCCTAGATCATGCATGGAGTCAGTCTCAAACAAACAGAAATATGAAGGAGGAAACCCTTGGGCTTTCTCACTTCCTGGCTAAGAGGTAAACATCCATGCATGTGATAGGAAAAGGCTGTCATACAGAGAAAACCCAAGAAGAGAAGTGACACTGAGGATCCTTGCTGTGGCTGAGACTATAATTCATTCCCAGTGTCTAAAAAGAACTTACTCAAATGACAAATATGAACAAAAATGACCTAAAGAATTTGATGCCCTAAGCCTCCTGAGAAGAAAAACAAAACAAAACTGACTAGCGTTAAGTGACTAGTGTCAAAGCAGGGCAGGATTACAGAAAGGAGGGCAGGGTTTACCAGAAGAGTGAAAAACAGAAGGTAAAACCCGGAGGCCCTGACTAGAGAGGAGAACCACAGCTCCAATCTCAAAAACAGATTTCAACCCTAAAACAAGGAAAGATGACCCTGTTCTTTAGCAGTTGCTATTCCAGTGCAGTCATGAAGTATAGTTTCATTTTCAGGATAATCCAATATAGATGAGGATCGTGCACCATGGGCAGTGGGTGCCCAAGAGCTGGGTTTTGTCCACATTACTCTACAACAGCTGGCGGTGGTGGCACACTCCTTTAATCCCAGCACTGGGGAGGCAGAGGCAGACGATATCTGTGAGTTTAAGGCCAGCCTGGTCTACAAATCAAGATCCAGGAGACTCCAAAGCTACACAGAGAAACCCTCTTGAAAAACAAAAACAAACAAACAAAACCTCTACAGCCAACTTCTTAGCAGCTCTATTAAGTGGCTTGATCCTGGATTTCCTCTGGATTTTTCAGGTTCCTCCTTTTCCCTCCCTTCCCCTAAGACAGAGCCTCATCAAGGTCTGCTAATGACTCCCAGTGAGTCTATCACTTGAGCTGATTAATGTACAAAAGGAATGAACACACAGCTAAGAAACACTCAACCTTGCTCTGAGCTCACTCTCTGGCTTAGGGTGCCAGGCTCCTAGCTTGTCTCACCTCAGGTCTGTGCTGTCAGCCAGGGAGATGGCAGGCTTCCTCACTGCACTGCTGCATGCGGCACTGTTACTGCAGGAGAGATCTGAATCAGCTTAACAGGACAAGGGAGATAAGTGATGCCCTTGACAAATACTGTCCCATCAGGCAACAAAATGCCAGTATGTTTAGGCTCTACATGAGACCCTAGGACACCACAATGGTTAAGAACTCAAGCCCTGGACCAGACTGTGAAGTTTCAACTTGTGAATCCTGGCTCTAATGTTTACTAGTTAGGTATAAGTGGGCAAGGTAGAGTCAATTTCTCTTTCTAGTTGTCTCATCTACAAAATCAGGGTGATAATGGTACTTGAGTCATTAACATGATTTAGTATACATAATGTCCTGAGAACAGTACCTGAAGATGTAATACTCAGTGAGTGTTTTTAGCTACTACTCTATTTATTTGATTCCAATTTTGTTGTTGTTTTTGGATATGATCTCACTGAACAGCTCTAGCTACCCTGGAACTTATTATGCAGACCAGGCTGGCCTCCAACTTACAGTAATCTTCCTTGTTTATGATGGCTGTTGGCCTTAAATGAGCAGTTGGCTGCCCTGTCCATGAGACAAAGGACTAGAGGTGACAAACTTTGTTGTGTTTACATGTCAGATTTGGGCTTGGTGTCCTGCTGAAGGGAAAATAGGGGGAAATTCAAGATGAGAAATTGCCTTCTAAGGGGTGTTTTGGACATGGGTAGAACCTGCCCAGGTACCAGTACTCCAGCATTACAGAGCATGTGGAACCAGCCCAGGAACCCATCACTACTCATATCAACATGGGAACCTCTCTCCTCTCTCTGTTATTATATGTTCTCATCTCTCTCTATTATATTCTTTTCCAAGGAATCATTAAGCACCCTCTCCATTACTCAACCCAGTATGTTCCAAACAGCCTGAGAACAGACCCTTCACCTTAAGTGGCCTATTACTTGTCTCAAATGTTGTTAGTTCTGCAAGTTCTGGCCCACTTCCCACTGCTCCCCTCCCTTCCCCTCCCCTCCCCTTTCCTTCTCTACTTAAGCCCCTCAACAGAAGTGCTCACTCTATTTCCATGTTCAGAAGCTCCACCAAGGCATTGAACGTGCCCACCTCCAGGAGCAGAAAGATGTTGTAGCGCATCCAGAACTGCACTTCTGCCTCTGAGCTGCACTCTCCAAAGGTACCTACAAACACAGGGCAGAGCTTACCAAGCCCCTCCATACACAACTAGGCACTGTCACTGGCAGAGGTGACAGGGGTCCCTGGGGACATCATCACAGTACCTTGGGCAACATAGAGAATCGCTCGGGCCACCTTGAGTCTTTTCTCCCGGGCAGTGACTTCCAAGCCATCCAGAAGCCTCATGGCATGGGTACGGTGTTGGTTGGTATCCAGCTCTGTCCACTTCTTGTCTGTCACTGCAGAGTAAGAGACACTAATAACTGAACCCACATAATTCCTCACAATAGAATTCCTTACTATGTTAATCTTTCAAATCTGGACAGCAACAGGACAAGAACGACAAGTTATTCCTTCTTAAGGGATAAGGCCACAGTGAGTTCTGTGAATTGGAATTCCCAGAAGACCCATTCTACATGACACATCAGGCTTTGAACAACTAGCACAATGATTTTTTTCATATTGCTAGATGTCTTAAAACAGTTTGATGATGATGAGAAACCCTGTACTCTCCTGATGCAGCGTGAATGGAACCAAGAAGTGGGGAAATGATCTCACCATGGATCCGGAAGTCCTCCTCAAAGCATTTCCGATTCATCAGGAATTCTGGTCCTTCTGTATAGCTGTAAAGCTCTGTCAAAGAACAAGGTCTCCTCACCATTACCACCCTCCACATCAGTTCTCACATGCAGCAGAGAAATTGAGGCATTCATTTCCAGCCTCAACTCTAGTCCTGCCAGAGTCACAGTGATTCTCAGGCTACTCTTTCTAATGACTGAGTGGGGAAGGCCTTAGTGTTCTGACGTACTTGACAGAGATAGCCACTTTGGAGCTATAACTGGAATGTCAGTGGAGACTGTGCTCTGTCGGAGGCTGGCCATCACCCTGAATATGTCTTTAGTGTCACCTCCTGAATAAAGATTATGAAGGCTGGAAAAGCAGCTCATCTGACTTCAGCTTATACATCAACAATAGTAGTAGCAACAGATGTGCAAAGATTGAAGCATAGTTGCTAGCATTCCTGTTACTCACTGTGTGAGAGATCACTGTCCAGTTGGTGTATGGCAAGGGGCACTAACTGCCTTACCCTGGGACTGGGCAATAACCAATTCAGCAGACTCCAAACAAGATCATTTATGGAAATAAAAAACAATCCAAAATTCCAAGACACATGGTCCAAATTGAATGGCTAACCAATGTTTTGTATATCATGGATAGGAATAACTAGGGGGAAATGATATCCAGTCTTAATTTGCTGAAGAACCCTGTAGAATATACTTTACCTGCAAGCTCTGCAGCCCACTTGTCTGTGTCAGCATACTCAAACTCCAGGTCTGGAGACTCAGAATAGCCCTGATGAATGGAAAGAACTTCACATAAAAGATCCTCCTGAGTGTTTTACAAAGGGATAAACACAAATGCCTCAGAGACACTGTGGCACTACATGACATCACCACCTCTACTTTTTTGATATTTTATCGCAGTACTTTGTCTCCTGGACTAGCCGAAGTCTCCTCAAAGCCCTCTCCAGCAGCTTATATTTCACCTTCAAAGCACCTACTATAAACTATAATTATTCACTGGATTTCTGTTTTTAATCATTCTCCTATCCATGAGACTGCAAGTTCCTTGAAACGGAAACTCTGTTTTGCTGGCCAACGATATTCATTACATATCTGTTCAAAAGTAAACATAAAACTTCTACTTTATGCAGTGACTGGCCATTCCATACAGTACTGAATATCTAGAAGTTCCATTTCTTTCTGAACTGTGGACTATAAACAGCTAAGGACAAATGAGTATTAAAACCCTCAGCCACTCTGCTCTCATCTCAATTTTCAGTGAAAACTAACAGACAGAGAAAGCAGAAACGGAACAGATTGGCCTTCTTCCCACACACAGGAGAGAATGCACTGAGAATCTGTTAGGGATAGGTGATTCCTGAGAACATGCCATCTTGGAAAACTGGTACTGGGAAGAGAGAAACAGCAAGAAAAAAATGGATAAAACCATCTTGATTAAAATGTACTTGGAAGACCCAGAGGATACAGTTCAGTGTAGGGGACCTTGCCTAACATGTGCTAGGCCCTGAGCTTAATCTTCAGCATTGGGGGTGAGGGGGAGGAAGCAAGTTAGATGGAGGGTGGGGTCAGAGAGAACCTTATAATAATGACCACTGACAAAATAGCATAATATACCCCCAAACAATAACTCTACTCCTTATTAATGGACAACAGTGAACACTTTTACAAGCTACTGAGTTTCTAGGCTAGGTATATAGTTCAGTGGTAGAATGATTACCTAATGTGCAGAGTCTTGGGTTCACATCCCAGTACCACCAAAACACAAATAAAATCAACAGTAACATGTATTGCTGAGGTTGAGTTTTTCATTTACTGGATGCGAATGACAAAAAAAAAAAAATCTGCTTGGAACTTTTTCTTATGACTTTTTTTTGACAACTTCATACATATTATACAATGTATTGTGATCACATTCATAACCTAATCCATTACCCTTTCTTACCCCCTCCCAATGTATTTATGTAGAGACAAGGTTTTACTGTGCAGCCCAGGCTGGCCTTGATCTCTGATCCCCCTTTCTCAGCTTCCTGTGTGTTGAGACTAGAAGCATGCTAGGCTACCTTCGCTATTTTTGAAGACTAACAAAATTAATGCAGCACATATTGAGCTCTCTCTCCTCGATGTCAGCCTCCTGTTGTCTAGACACTGATCAGATTCCCAAACTACTGATTTCAGCTGTCATTAGAGGAAGTGTGCAGCATAAGCATCTCTAATGCAAGTAGATAGATCTCTCTATTTGATGGGCCTTTAGATGCCAACTCTGCTGAAATTAAAGGGTAGAAAGAGAAATTAAAATGTCTATGGGAGGTTGAGGATGTAGCTTGGCAGTACAATGTTTGCCTAGCTTACACAAGGCTTGGAATTTGATTCTCAGAATCACAAAATAATAATAAAATGCATGATAGGCTATGTATTTAGGAAAATTTAAAGCTTCTTTACCTGCTGGGCCATCTTGCCAGCAGGTAAAACATTTTTTTAAGATTTATTTTATGTGTCTATCTGTATGCATGCAAGTTCCCCTGGAGGTCAGAAGGAGGGTATTGGATCCCTAGGAGCTGGAGTTAAAGGCAGTTGTGAGCTGCCCAATATGGGTGCTGGGATCCAAACTCAGGTCTTCTGAGGGCAGCAACTGCTTTTAACCACTGAACCACCTCTCCACCACCACCCCCAAAAGAGCCTGTGGGTATTAATCGATTCTCAGCATCCTATTCAGAAAAACTAAACAAGTCTGGTCATTAAAGAAGGTGTGCTCACAAACTTAAAACTTTCATACTCCTCCATACTTGAATGGTCACTGAGAAGTAGCCACTGATGATCCATTGTTCCACAATAAAGGGTTCAACTTCTGTTTTTTCAAAAAGGCCACTCTAAGTTCAACCTCTCTACTCTGGGCTTGTTCATCTGCAACATGTTTTAGCAGGACTTGAGCCTGCAACAAAAAACGATGAAAGGAACTGATGTCTAAAGACAGTATCATTAGTCTCTGGTTCAAGCTGGAGCATCAAATTTGGATAATGAGGAATTCCCTCTCAGTAAGCGCCTGACTGCTCATCACACTGGGAGTTGTCTCAGGTGGAGACTGCATAGTAAGTGCTCTGGGAATGAATGTGCTGATTAAGAAGCCCTAAAATGCTGCCACGGGTGTGTGTTCATTCATGAATTCTGCAAACGGAAGCAGTGGGAGGAATTTTAACTTGGGGCGAGGTGAACGGCTCCATAGTGCGCGGGCAAAGGGAAACACAGCTCACTAGCAAGAAGGAGAATCCTGCGCCCTTTGTGTACTTCTGATCCTTAACAGTTCAGCACTGGGTTCACGGGGCACACAAAAACGCTTGTCAGGGTCTGCCCATGGCCTGATCCTGCAGACTTAAAGTTCGGAGGGAACCCAGGGTGCTCTCTCTGCTTCTATCACAACCTGGGGCCACGCAGCATTAGAGAGAGATACAAGCCCTGTTCTGAGCACCCAATAAACTCTCTCAGGTCCCTTCGCTGCCAACTGGCGTCTCCCACCGCCCGCCCAAGATTAGGGGCCGGAAATGATGAGGCGCTGAGAGCAGACCGCCTCCTCTGGACCCCAGGGCTGTGCCTCGGGTCACGCCCCCGGG